GTAAAAACAGGAACCAAGAATTCCAAGATTGATCTCAAGCTGTTGCAGTTCTTTCACAAAGACAGCTAGCTTCAACTAGCGCTCGATGGCATGTAAAACAAAGGTAGAACAAAATAGTGCATTATATCAAAAAAATGCAACTTATGGAAAATTATAAAAGAATAATAAGTAAACATTATTAAGACAGTTTTTTTTTTATCGGAATGTAAAAAAATGCCCAATTAACATTTGCGAAGACTATGTGTTCTCTGTTAACATCAAACCCAGCTGTATGATGGAAAGAGCGGAAGTGTTAGAAAACAGAAACCGGGATTTAAGAGAGGAATTCTGATCAAATCTATTGAAAAACAAGTATACGAAGAGGGGAGAATAAAAGCGCCTCAATGTAGTCAAAATACAAGAAAAAAAAACGGAAAAAAATGGAAATCTAAATGCCAACGCACCAACCAGCTTTCAGAACAAAAAAAAATTTTCTACTTAAAAATAAGCACACAGTACAGAAACAAGCTAACTGCACAGTGGGATGAAAACCAAAAGAATCCCGTCAGTTCATTTTTTTCGATAAACAGATTTGCTGAGCGGAGAAGCAAATAAGTAATTAGGGGCTAACCTCAGGCCATGAAATATTGATACCTTCCAGTTCTTTTAGTGCCTTCTTCTGTTGCTCCAGCAATCGTATCCTGCAAATTTGCGATTTTATATTACAAAAAACGGCAAAAGGATGAAAAGCAGAGCTCCAAATCCTTACCTCATTTGTTCTGCATTTTCACTGAGTGTTCGCCTTCGGAGGCCCAGCATTCGCGACTCCTCTTGCGCACACATCAACGCACAGCTTAAAATGATGCGCATAACAAGAAATGCCAAAAATGAGTCAATTCTCAGATCACTATAAGTTATAATTTATCCCAACTGTTTGCTCCAGCTAGGAAAAAATTTGACCCAGGTAGCGACGCACCAGGCTTGTCGTTACGATTACACGTTTTTGCATGTTTCCTTTCTGTAGAAGAATCACTTATACTACTGGGGGTATGACTGCGGTGTTCTAATTTGAACATTTGATGCGCCTGTATCCAGGGCCCATGCCTACATAGAAACTCATTTTACGTTTGGTGGCCCGTACACGAACGGTAAACAAGTTCAGAAAAATACGTTTTTTCTTACTGCATCTGATCATCAAATTAACTGGATGCTAACTGGATCCCTAACCAACATCTAGTTGCACGCACGCGAGACATAGGTGTGCTCAAAAGCTGAATTTGAAATATTTGAGTCGCACTTTAATACGCAATATCCCGGTAAAGTTTCAACTCCGTAGCACGACTGGTCGGCGAAGTCGCC